CTTCAATAGCGTGTATGACGTCCGGTTGCCTCAATGCATGCTGTGATGACGTCAGTCTTCTGATGATGTGGACTGGAATTGGTTGCCACTCGTCTCTCAGGGCCTGCTGCAATTCTTGTCTGTTGACGGGAGGCTGATGGCGTGCTCTAATCTGTCTGTCAAGTTGGTTCCACAGATGTTCAATAGGATTCATATCGGATGAGTGGGCAGGCCAGGGCAAAACGTCAACGTTCTGCTGGTTTAGAAAGTTCCGAGTCAATCTTGCAGTATGGGGCCTGGCATTGTCCACTGCTGTTGGTTTTATAAGACACAACTGGCTGCAACCCATGGTCTCTGTATTGCACAGCGTTCAGATTTCCCTGTATAATCACCAAATCAGTCTTCTGATCTCCACAAATACCGCCCAACACCATGACACCTCCAGTCTCAGGCGTCGATGTTGAGCAGTCAGTACCATTCCTCGGAAAGGACGATACGCTCCGATATCAGCAGCACGAAGTCGTCGTAGTACTGTACGTTGGCTAATGGGATGTCCCAACGCTGTTGCTGCCGTCGCCGTCGCCGTCGCCGTCGCCGTCGCCGTTACGAATTTGTTTCGCAGGTGAATGAGCCGTATCTGACCGTCTTCCAGTGGTGTTGTCACTCGGGGTCGTCCGGTTCTAGGCCTGCCCTGTGTCCTCCCTGTCTGCCTGTACCCTGAATCACCCTGGCTACTGTCAATGGTGTACAACCAAACCTTCTGCCATTTCGACCATACCGATGGCTCTCTCTCTCTGCTCCTGTGACAGTCGTGGCATTTCTTTTGTGTGCTTTCATCACGTGTGCAGACGAACGCATATATATCGGGTGAGGTGTTTTTTGGTACCTGTTCCTGGGCAGTCATATTCTCACTACCCACTTTCCACTAGTTATCGCTGTTTTTAGGAAAATTACAAATTGCCAACCTATACTTTCTTTTGTCGCTTAGTTTAGATAAGTTTTGTAATCTTAGCGCATTTCCTCTTATTTCAAGGTACAATTTTGATATTTGCATTCGGTATACAGAAAGCTACTGGTAAATTATTAATATCCTCAACATACATATTTGACCAGAGTGGAACTACTCGTTACTGACATTGCCTTATACACTCTTAAAAAAAGATATATGTTATTGGAAAATGTTGGTGATATTCGACAAACGGTGCTTCAAATGCAGCCATTGTCGATTTGCAATGTCTTAAACGTATTGTTTTCACACTTGTTCAACATTGTCATGGAGGAAAACAATAAAGCAAAATGCACGTGCAAATTATTGCATTCGTAACTCGAATTAGTGGCTATAAAAAGGCAAGCATAAGCCAATAATTTGTCATTCAATTATCAACATTTTTCAAGTTCGAAAATGCCGAGGCTCAGCGCTGCCGATCGGAACATCGCCAAAGGACGTATCCAAAGAGGGGAATCGCAGTCTTCTGTTGCACGCCACTTCAACGTCCACCACAGCACCATTTGCCGCCTTTGTGACCGATACACACAGTTCAATTCCACTGCAGGCCGTCCGAGAACCGGCCGACCAAGAGTTACCACCCCTGCACAGGATCGCTATATTCGGCTGTTCCACCTAGGTCATCGCAATGCAACAGCTACTGAGACTGCAGGACACATCCCTGGTTAGGCGGTCCACACTTCGAGTAAATTCTCAATTCATGTATTTCCCATCGACGGAATGACAAACAGAGCATGGAGTATGGGGCACTGACCAATGCAGGCTCGTTTCAGTCCCCTCTATGACAAACATGATACCTAGGGCCTCCGCATCATAGAAGGGTTACAGTATAAGGTGTCCTACACATCCCAGAGGGTTACAGCATAAGGTGTTCTACACATCCCAGAGGGTTACAGTATAAGGTGTTCTCCATATCCCAGAGTGTTACAGTATAAGGTGTTCTACACATCCCAGAGGGTTACAGTATAAGGTGTTCTCCACATCCCAGAGGGTTACAGTATAAGGTGTTCTCCACATCCAAGAGGGCTGCAGTATAAGGTGTTCTCCACATCCCAGAGGGTTACAGCATAAGGTGTTCTACACATCCCCGAGTGTTACAGTATAAGGTGTTCTTCACATCCCAGAGTGTTACAGTATAAGGTGTTCTACACATCCCAGAGGGTTACAGTATAAGGTGTTCTCCACATCCCAGAGGGTTACAGTATAAGGTGTTCTCCACATCCAAGAGGGCTGCAGTATAAGGTGTTCTCCACATCCCAGAGGGTTACAGTATAAGGTGTCCTACACATCCAAGAGGGTTACAGTATAAGGTGTTCTCCACATCCCAGAGGGTTACAGTATAAGGTGTTCTCCACATCCCAGAGTGTTTCAGTATAAGGTGTTCTACACATCCCAGAGGGTTACAGTATAAGGTGTTCTCCACATCCCAGAGGGCTGCAGTATAAGGTGTTCTCCACATCCCAGAGGGTTACAGTATAGGGTGTTCTCCACACCCCAGAGGGTTACAGTATAAGGTGTTCTCCACACCCCAGAAGGGTTACAGTATAAGGTGTTCTCCACATCCCAGAGGGTTACAGTATAAGGTGTTCTCCACATCCCAGAGGGTAACAGTATAAGGTGTTCTCCACACCCCAGAGGGCTACAATATAAGGTGTTCTCCACATCCCAGAGGGTTACAGTATAAGGTGTTCTCCACACCCCAGAAGGGTTACAGTATAAGGTGTTCTCCACACCCCAGAAGGGTTACAGTATAAGGTGTTCTCCACATCCCAGAGGGTTAGAGTATAAGGTGTTCCCCATACCCCAGAGGGTTAGAGTATAAGGTGTTCTCCACACCCCAGAAGGGTTACAGTATAAGGTGTTCTCCACACCCCAGAGGGCTACAGTATAAGGTGTTCTCCACATCCCAGAGGGCTACAGTATAAGGTGTTCTACACATCCCAGAGGGCTACAGTATAAGGTGTTCTCCACATCCCGGAGGGCTTCAGTATAAGGTGTTCTCCACATCCCAGAGGGCTACAGTATAAGGTGTTCTCCACATCCCAGAGGGTTACAGTATAAGGTGTTCTCCACACCCCAGAAGGGTTACAGTATAAGGTGTTCTCCACACCCCAGAGGGCTACAGTATAAGGTGTTCTCCACACCCCAGAAGGGTTAAAGTATAAGGTGCTCACTGGTCTCGAGGGGGTATGGGTTGATGTTACCTTTGTTAGTTTATGTACCCCCAAGGCTAGAGGGTACACCAAATAGGTTTTGGCAATTCGAGCGGGGAACATTCGAAATGCACCTTAAATGTAAACGGGGTACGACATTCATGTGTAAGGTAAGATAACTGTTATGTATTTCAGAGTTTGGAATAGATTAAGTAAAGATTTTTGCTTGACAATGTAAAACATTCTGACACTTTTATCGACTGTTCTGTCAAATTCGACAAACGAATAAAAAGAATATGAAGTCAGGAAGTTCCAGAAGTACCCCGACACCAAACGACTGTAATTTGCAATGAAAGTGAAAGTGTTTTGTTTGTTTGTTTGTTTGTTTGTTTGACGCCGCATTCCAGCTATATGACGGCGGTCTTATAACTAATCGAGTCTAGACCAGACTATCGACTGATTGACATCATGAGCATCGATATACGCAATTTGGATACGATGACATGCATCAACCAAGGCAGCGATCCCTCGTCCGACAAGCAGGAAAGTGAAAGTGAAAGTGAAAGTGAAAGTGAAAGTGGTGGAAGGGATGAGTCACCAGCTGTTGTAACCAGCCACATGAAAGATGTTGTGTGTCTTTCAGCAGATCGATGGTAGCTCAGAACACAGAAAACGTAGAGAATCAATACTATCTATTTTGGAGTTACAGTACTGTATTACCGATTGGCTGTAACGGTAAAGAATTACAAGTAAGGAATAACATAATTTGTATACACTCTTCAAAAAAGGAAACGCACAGGGAGATTTTTAGTAAATCGATTGACACCTCATAAAGTCGATATATTTGATTTAATATCATAGATACGGATATGAAATGTTGGGGCTTGATAGTCACATGTTGTCGTTGTACAAAGGCATTAAACTGTTCATTGTCATGTCACGGCTCTGCATCTCCTCGGCACTGACTGGATAAGTGTACGAATTCTGTCCTGCGGAGTTCTGCGGAATTCTGCTTGTAACGCGTTGACCAGTTGCGGTTGTGTCTGCGACGTGTTCTGACGCTGACGTACACGTCGATCGATCCCAGAGGTGTTCGATTTGGTTGTGATCTGGAGAGCTCGGCGACCAGGTTAAGTCGTTGATGTTGGCATCATGAAGGTAGTCTACCGTGACACGAGCTGTGTGCTTTTGAGCGTTGTCCTGTTGAAACAGCTCCCTCTGGCGGTCAATGATTCGAATAGGGTGAGGTTGAAGAATTTGATTCATGTAACGATTTGCTATTAAATTTCCCTAAACCACAACCAAGTCAGATCTCCTGGTGTAGGATATGGCGGTCACCCACACCATGACACTACCACCACCGAATTTGTCCAATTCACGTACACAATGTAGGGCAAAACGCTCATTTCGACGACGATAATCACGTTGTCTTCCGTCTCGCCGGTGAAGATGAAATCGTGATTCATCGCTTAACCACACTCGTCTCCAGTTTCTCAAATTCTAAGGCTCTAAGGTATGACACTAACGCAAGCGTCGCTGTCGATGGATCTGTTGCAAAACAGGGACGATAACTGGTCTTCTGGGTCGGATTCCAGTCTCGCGAAGATGGTTCCTGACAGTCTGGTCCGATATCCTCCTCAAACCACTGCGTGGTCTAGTGGATATAGAGCGTATATCCGAAGAGCGGAAGTCCTTGTTTTAGCCCCTAATACCGAGCGCCAGGCAGGGTAACGACAAGTAACATCTTTTAACGTCTTTTGGTATTACGATGCCGGGGATCGAACCCCGTATCTTCCGCTCTCCGGGCGGACGCTCTACCACTAGACCACGGAGGTCGGTCACATGATTAGGACACGGGGGAGAATAGGACACAGTGAAGTATATTGTTTCGTTTGATTAAAGATGCAAATGCGTTCACTATTTTCTATTCACAGCACACTTTCATCTGCGTTCCTTATTTTCTGATTGGGTGTTTCCTGACCGCTGATATAGTGGGCGCAGATCATGGCAGTCTTATTAGAACCCAACTCTTTTCTACCATAATATTTACATCAGGCGCCTGTACCCTGCTTCAGACAGCACTCGGTACCAGGTAAGTAGTAGCATGTATTTACTTTCACCCTTTGTCGTGTTTCGGGGGGAGAGAAGGGTTGGGGGATCTGTGGTTTCGGCTATCGTATCTAAGCTTAACGTAACAATTGGTTTAACGCATATGGTCCCCGACAAACACGAGGGCTGGTACAAAAGTTCCAAGCCTAACAAACAAAACCAACTATTGTGAACTTGTGTTTAATTTTATTTTTCAACATAATCTCTCTGCTTTTCAATACACCTCTCATATCGATAGTGAAGCTTTTAAATTCCAGTCACTCCATACACCGCACACCACACACACCACACCACTCAACACACAGCACAGCACCCACCAGACAACCAAACACAACCCAAACCACACCACACTACACTCCACACTCCGCACACCACACACAGCACACCACCCAAGACATAACACAACACCCACCATACAACCAAACACCACCGACACCACACCACACCACACTACACTCCACACTCCGCACACCACACACACCACACCACCCGAGACACAACACAACACCCATCACATAACCAAACACCATCGACAATTCACCACACAACACCACACCACGCCACACTACACTCCACACTCCACACTCCACACTCCACACACCACACACAGCACACCACTTAACACACAACACAACACCCACAAGACAACCAAACACAACCCACACCACACCACACTACACTCCACACTCCACACTCCGCACACACACCACACCACACCACACCACACCACACCACACCACACCACACCACACCACACCACACCACACCACACCACACCACACCACACCACACCACACCACACCACACCACTCCACACTACCCTCTACACTCCACACTCCACACTCAACATTCCACACTCCGCACACCACACTACCCTCTACACTCCACACTCCACACTCAACATTCCACACTCCGCACACCACACTACCCTCTACACTCCACACTCCACACTCCAAATTCCACACTCCGCACACCACACACAGCACACCACTTAACACACAACACAACACTTACCAGACAACCAAACACAACCGACACCACACCACACCACACTACACTCCACACTCCGCACTCCACACTCCACACTCCACACTCCACACTCTACACTCCACGTTCCGCACACCACACACAGCACACCACTCAACACGAACTACAAACAACACACCACATCACACCACACCACACTCCAAACACCAGACACACCTCACACCACACACCACACATCACACAACAGCCACCACCTTACACAACACACAACACACATTACACGCTGCACAGCACACACTCCACACTCCACACACCACACTGCACGCACTCCATACACAACAGTCTACATACCACACACTGTACACACAACACACCATACACCACATACCACAGACTTAACATGCCACGTACCACACACTACACCCACCCACCGTAAACCACAAACTACACAGCCCACACTGCACACAACACATTACACACCATACACTGCACACCATCCACTACACACTTGAAGCACCACACACCACACGCCGCACACCACACGCCCAACACTGCACACACCTCACACTCCACACCTCACACCAAATATCACACCCACCACCCACCACACCCACCACCCACTGAACACTCCACACCTCATATTAAAACATCACCCACAACACACAACCCATCACCCACAACACACCACGCACACTGCACACTCCAAACACCGCACACCACACACAGCAAACCACTCAACACACAACACAACACCTACCAAACACGAAACACCACCCACACCACACACTCCACACCACACACTCCACACCACACACCACACACAAAACACCACGTATTACACACCACCCACCACACACTCCACACACCAAACACCACACACTGCACACTGCACACACCACACACTCCTCACCACACACAAAACACAAAACACCACATATTACACACCTCCCACCACACACTCGACACACCAAACACCACACACTGCACAATGCACACACCACACCACACAGCACACACTTCACACTACACACCATACACAAGACACTGCACACCACATACCACACAGTGCACACCTCACACCAACCACCACAAACACTGCAAACTACACACAACACACACCACATACCACACACTACAGACTCTACACCATGCACCAAACACTCGACACACCACATACCGCACACCACAAACAGAACACAGCACACAGAACACAGCACACAGCACACACCACAAACCACACACTTGACACACCAAACTACACACACTGCCCACACTGCACACCACACACCGCACACCACAAACAGAACACAGCACACAGCACACACCACAAACCACACACTTGACACACCAAACTACACACACTGCCCACACTGCACACCACACACTGCACACTACACAATGTACACTACAGCAGCCACACTCCACACACTACAAACCCCATGCTCCACACACAAGAAATTCCATACTCCACACACCACATACCACCAGTGCCGTAGCCAGCCGGCTCACACAACCTACCACACACAACACACAACACACTACACACTACACATTCCACACACCACGCACTCCATACCACAAATCCGTTACCACACTCCCCGCACTCCACACGCTAGACACTACACCAACCACCCACCACACCCCCGATACCACACACACTAGACATTTCACACTCTACACACCACACACTACACACTACACACCATACACCATACACCACGCACTACACACTACACACTACACACACTACATGCTACACACGACACACTCACACACTCACAAACCACATACCACACACTACACACCAAACACTACACACCACACACCACTCACCACGCACTACACACTACACATGACACACTCACACACTACACATACCACACACCACACACTTCACACACCACACACAACACACTATACATCACACACTACATGCCACACAAACGATAATACACTCCACAATCCACATTCCAGACACCACACATTACCCGATATCACACGCCACACAACCACACACCAAAGAGCACACAACACACAACACACAACCTTAAACCACACACTACACATCTAACACTACATACCACATATTACACACCACCACCCACACCACCCACTCCACACTCAAAAAAGCACACACTACACACCACACACACTACACCTCACTTACTACAGACTACACACCACACAACCAGTCACCACCAACCATCCAGCAGACACTACACACCACCCAAATCCCACCACACCACACTCCATACACAACACACTCAACCACCACCACACATCACACACCACACACTACACGCAACACACTAAACATACTTCACGTCACTCACTCCAGATTACACACCACACAACCAGACACAACCCACCATCCAGCAGACACTACACAGCACCCACAACCCACCACACCACACTCCATACACAACACACTCCACCACCACACATCACACACCACACACTACACAAAACACACTAAACATACTTCACGTAACTCACTCCAGACTACACACCACACAACCAGACACTACCCACCACCAACAAGACACTACACACCACCCACAACCCACCACACCACACTCCATACACAACACACTAGACACTACGCAATTTGCACTACGCACTACACACTAGACACTACACACAACACACTACGCACTACGCACTAGACAATATACGCTATGCACTACACACTACGCACTACACACTACACACTACACACTACACACTACACACTACGTACTGGACACTACACACTAGATACTACACACTACGCACTACGCACTACGCACTACACACTACACACTACGCACTACGCTCTACGCACTACACACTACACACTACACACTACACACCACACACTACGCACTACACACTACGCACTACGCACTACGCACTAAACACTCTTCACGTCACTCGCTCCAGACTAAACACCACACAACCAGACACAACCTACCACATATTACACACCACACATAACACCTCATCCACCACACACTATATAATCCACTACACACTTTCAGACCAGACACCAGACACCAGACACCAGACACAACACACTACACACTACACACCACACACCACGCACTACGCACTACACACTACGCACTACACACTACACACTACGCACTACGCACTTTGCACTACACATTACACAATACACACTAAACACTAAACACTAAACACTACGCACTACACACTAGACAATACACACTACGGACTACACACTCCACACTACACACTACACACTACACACTACGCACTACGCACTACGCACTAGGCACTAGACACTAGACACTACATACTACACTCTACACACTACACACTACACACTACGCACTAGACACTACACACTACACACTACACACTACACACTACACACTACGCACTGGACACTACACACTAGACACTACACGCTACACACTACGCACTACACACTACATACTACGCACTACGCTCTACGCACTACGCACTACACTCTACGGACTAGACACTACACGCTACACACTACGCACTGGACACTACAGACTACAAACTACGCACTACACACTACATACTACGCACTACACACTACGCACTACATACTACACACAACACACTACGCACTACACACTACACACTACACACTACACACTACACACTACACACTACGCACTACACACTACATACTACGCACTACGCACTACACACTACATACTACACACTACACACTACGCACTACACACTACACACTACACACTACACACTACGCACTACACACTACATACTACGCACTACGCTCTACGCACTACACTCTACACACTACGCACTACACACTACATACTACACACTACACACTACGCACTACACACTACACACTACACACTACGCACTACACACTACATACTACGCACTACGCTCTACGCACTACACTCTACGCACTACGCACTACACACTAGATACTACACACTACACACTACACACTACGCACTACATACTACACACAACACACTACGCACTACATACTACACACAACACACTACATACTACACACAACACACTACGCACTACATACTACACACAACACACTACGGACTAGACACTACGCACTACACACTACATACTACGCACTACGCTCTACGCACTACACTCTACACACTACGCACTACACACTACATACTACACACTACACACTAGACACTACACACTACACACTACACACTACACACTACGCACTACACACTACATACTACGCACTACGCTCTACGCACTACGCTCTACGCACTACACTCTACACACTACGCACTACACACTACATACTACGCACTACGCTCTACGCACTACACTCTACACACTACGCACTACACACTACATACTACACACTACACACTACACACTACACACTACATACTACACACTACACACTACGCACTACATACTACATACTACGCACTACGCTCTACACACTACGCACTACACACTACATACTACGCACTACATACTACACACAACACACTACGGACTAGACACTACGCACTACACACTACATACTACGCACTACGCTCTACGCACTACACTCTACACACTACGCACTACACACTACATACTACACACTACACACTAGACACTACACACTACACTCTACACACAACACACTACGGACTAGACACTACGCACTACACACTACATACTACGCACTACGCTCTACGCACTACACTCTACACACTACGCACTACACACTACATACTACGCACTACACACGAGACACTACACACTACACTCTACACACTACGCACTACACATTACATACTACACACTACGCACTACATACTACACACTACACACTACACACAACACACTACGCTCTACACACTACGCACAACACACTACATACTACACACAACACACAACACACTACATACTACACACAACACACTACGCACTACATACTACACACAACACACTACGCACTACACACAACACACAACACACTACGCACTACATACTACACACAACACAGAACACACTGCATACTACACACAACACACTACGCACTACATACTACACACAACACACTACGCACTACATACTACACACAACACTCTACATACTACACACTACACACTACGCTCTACACACTACGCACAACACACTACATACTACACACAACACACAACACACTACATACTACACACAACACACTACGCACTACATACTACACACAACACACTACGGACTAGACACTACACACTACACACTACGGACTACATACTACACACAACACACTACGGACTAGACACTACACACTACACACTACGCACTACATACTACACACAACACACTACGGACTAGACACTACACACTACACACTACGCACTGGCCACTACACACTAGACACTACACGCTACACGCTACACGCTACACACTACACACTACACACCACGCACCACGCAACACGCACCGCATACCACTCACTACGCACTACGCACTACACACTACACACCACAAACCACGCACTCCACACTCCACACCCAGAGCCAACTCCGGGGTAACCTGGGCGTGTCATTCGACAAGGAAGATGGGTGTAGCTAATTTTCCTCGTGCCTGTTGCACAGCGAACTTCGCGCTAACACTATCACTCCAACGCTAACTGCCACTCTTTACCATAGCGCTGGCATCGCTGTGTGCACGGGCCCCAGGCTCAGAATATTTACAGGCCGCCTTGATACAGATGGAACATATCCATACCGAACAAAAGATTACTTGTGTCAATTGAGGGTGCCTCGTTGCAATAACTCTTTTCCCAGGCTGCCGATGATCCAGGGTCCGTCAGTTGCATTTCTACCTGCCCTGCTGACAGCCCAGAGAAGCAGGGAGTGGTCTTGTACAGGTGATTAAGCGAGCGGTTGTGTCGGAGTTGATGAGTGTGTGAGTGAGTGGATTAACGCCGCTTTGAACAGTATTCGAGTTATATGTCGGTGTGTCAACTTCATGTGGGAGGAAACCCCGAAGTGATGCAGGTCTCAGAGCAGGGGTATGGTGCTGGCAAACCTAGGAACCTCGAATCCATGATCCAAGGTTTCTGGCGTGCCCAAGGATGCAACTGTGCACAGCGAAATGCGGCGTCTTAGACGACTGGGACACCAGTGGTGAGTGAGTGAGTTAGCGAGTGTAAAGGTTAGTGGAGTGAGTACGTGACTGAGTCTGGTTGGGTGGTTAGTTTGGTGAGAGGATGGGTTAGTGGCTAGAAAGGCTTGATGAAATGGCAACGGAGGGAGAGTGGCCGGCGATATGTTACCTGTGTTCTCCAGGAGAGATCGCCACAGGGATCTTAGGGACAGTACAGTAACTTCCTGACTGATGCCCAGCAGGTTTCGAGTCATTGTCCTAACATGAAAAAGTCAACACTGTATCCGGGATTGCTAACAGTACCCGGGGATGACGAAGGGCCTACACTCACTGACGTGTGTATTTCAGGCTGATAAGTGCTCCTGTGACTGTCGTGAGTGAGTGATTGTGAGTGAGTGTGTGTCTGTCGTGTGAGTGAGTGAGTGAATGAATGAGTGAGTGAGTGAGTGAGTGAGTGAGTGAGTGAGTGAGTGAGTGAGCGAGTGTGTAGATGAGTTAGTGAATGAGTGTTTGGGTAGGTGAGTGGGTGAGTGTGTAGGTAGGGTGAGGAGTGAGTGAATTAATTTAAGTAGGTAGTTGGTGTGTGAGTGAGTGTGTTGGTGTGAAGGTTGTGTCGGGAGTGAGTCAGTGGAGGCGCTTGTAGATAGGTAGGTGAGTGTGTGTAAGAAGGGTGGGTGGGGTGGGGTGGGGTGGGGTGCGGTTAGTAGGTAGGTAGTGAGTGGGTGAGTGTTGGGTAGATGTGTGAGTGGTGGGTAGGTAGGTAAGTGAGTGTTGGTATTTTCAGCAGGCGATTGGATGGGTGAGTGGTGGGTGAGTGGTGGGTCGGTAGGTGTGTCGGTAAGTAGGGGAGAGCGTGAGTGAGTGTGCGGGTGTGTAGATAATGTGGGATGTTGCTTTTGTGAGTGAATGGTTGAGAGAGAGAAAGTGAGTGAGTGAGTGGGCGGATGGATGAGTGAGTGAAGGAGGGATTGTGGAGAGATAGAGTGCTTCTATGTGGGGGAGTTTGTATGGGTGGGTGGCTGATTCTCTCTTTCTTTCCAGATAGCAGCACAGACTACAACAGCACATACTACAACATCACCAACGATGCTAACCACACCACCTCAACCCCAGATACTGTTCCAATGGACGACTTGCCGACCTGTTTGAGTCCCGAAGACAAACTGAGAGAAGTATGTGTATCGAAGTTTCGTACAATGATTGTCATTGGTATACAGAAGGTGTTTAACGGTGAAAGAATACTGATCCTATTTATTATAACGCCGCTCTCAGTATCTGTGCTGTGCCATGTCAGCTTAATGTGGGAAAAAAGCCCAAAGTGATGCAGATCTTGGCGTTTACCACTTTGGTGAAAACCACCAGAACGGATGGTGACGACAAACCGAGTAACATAATTTGAGCGAACATCGATTTCGAACCCACGTTTAATTTCTGGCACGCATTAGAGGTGGGGTGGGGTGGATCGAGGTGGGGTGGGGTGGGGTGGGGTGGGATGGGGTGGGATGAGGTGGGGTGGGGTGGGGTGGGGTGGGGTCAGGTGAGGTGAGGTGAGGTGGGGTGGGGTGGGGTGGGGTGAGGTGGGGTGGGCTGGATCGAGGTGGGGTGGGGTGAGGGTGAGGTAGCGACGAGTATGCGTGTGTGTGTTTGTGTTGCTGTTTATACTAGTCCGAGTAATGCAGAGTTAATAGTGCTAGCCCACCGAGATACCTTGCCGTAGTTTAACACGAATTCTTCATTCAGACACAGTCTACTGACTCCAAGCAGACCAGTCCTTGTTTTAGCCCCTTAATGCCAAGCGCCAGACAGGGTAACAAGTAATATTTAAACCTCTTTTGCTATGACGCGGCCTGGGATCGAACCCCGACCTTCCGCTCTCAGATCAGACAATCTACTTCTAGACCACGGGGGCGGTCTCAAATAGCTTGGATCTATAACGTGATTTCGTATACTCACACTTCCATAATTCACCTCCCTAATGCGTGAGTGAGTAAATTGGGTTAAACGCCGCTTGTAACAGTATTCTAGTTACATGTATACTCTAAGAAAAAAGAAACGCACAGGTAGATTTGTAAGAAATTTATTGTACCTAATAAAGTCAACATATTTAACTTAATATCATAGATACAAATTTGAAATGTTGGAGCTCGATAGGCACATGTTGCCGTTGTACACTGGTATTGAAAACTGTTCATTGTCATGTCACATAAGGCCACAAGATTGCGCTGAACTCACTATCTCGTGTGGCCGCTCCGGGCAGCAATCGAGGCTCTGCATCTCCTCGGCACTGACTGGATAAGTGTACGAATTCTGTCCTGCGAAATTGTGCGCAATTCTGCGCAGTTCTGCTTGTAACGCGTTGGCCAGTTGTGGTAGTGTCTGCGGCGTGTTCTGACGTTGACGTACACGTCGATCGAGTTCATCCCACAGGTGTTCGATTTGGGTTGTGATCTGGAGATCGCGACGGCAAGGGCATGGCGTTGATGTTGGCATTATGAAGGTAGTCTTCCATGACACGAGCTGTGTGCTTTGGAGCGTTGTCCTGTTGAAACAGCTCCCTCTGACGGTCAATGATTCCATCTCGCCGGTTGAAGAAATCGTGATTCATCGCTTAACCACACTCGTCTCTAGTTTCTGAAATTCCAAAGCTGTAAGGTATGGCACCAACGCAAGCGTTGCTTTCGATGGATCTGTTGCAAAGCAGGGACGATAACTGGTATTCTGGGTCGGATTCCAGCCTCGCGAAGTCGGTTCCTGACAGTCTGGTCCGATATCCTCCTCAAACCAGGTATGCGTCCTGCAGTCTCCGTAGCTGTGGCATTACAATGACGTAGGTGGAACAGTCGAATGTAGCGATCCTGTGCAGGGATGGTAACTCTTGGTCGGTCTGCAGTGGAATTGAACTGTGTGTATCGGTCCCAAAGGCGGCAAATGGCGTGCAACAGAAGACTGCGATTCCCCCATTTGGATACGTCCTGTGGTATTACGTCTCGGCAATTTCGAACTTGTAAAATGTTGACAATTGAATTGCAAATCGACAATGGCTGCGTTTTGACGCACCGTTTGTCGAATATCAGGCCACCAACATTTTCTAATAACATATATCTAATTCATATACCGGATTTTTTGTGTAGTCAGGTTCAACGAAGTACATATTACCTGTGCGTTTCTTTTTTTGAAGAGTGTATAACACGTCGAGTCTGTGGAAGGGATGCAAGTCTTAGATATTTACCACTTTTGTGAAATCCACAAGCAGACATGCTGACAAACCAATAAACATAATAGGGTATTAAGTACACACGAGTTCTGCAACCACACGTCTGCTGAACATTTTACGAAGCTTTATCAAAAGGGCGTTGAGAATGCAGTGTGTGTGAGCTGGGTTTGAAAGCCTCGCGAGATTATGATAATGCGTAGAAATAATAGTGATAACGGTGAATGCGATATGATGATGATGATGATGATAATGATGATGATGATGATGACGGTGCTTAATAAAAGTTGTACTTTCAGATATCTGGAAGTTTAATGGCTGCTTCGTCTGTTGAGATCCTCATTGGCGGGACAGGACTTGTAGGGCTTCTAATGAAGTTTGTAGGACCAGTTACAGTGGCCCCTACCATTGCTCTGGTAGGACTGAGTGTGTACAAGGTGCTCATTGCCTACTCACGGTCGTCATGGGAACTATCCTTACTGTGAGTACATACTTCTATGATATGGTGGATTGTACGATTCCGACTATATCATGAGCATGTGTTCATGAATCACTATCAAATATAGATGACACCAGGTGTTCGGAAAAGCTATTCCAAAAAGCTTGTGTGTGATAGAGTTTGGCCTAACGCCGCTTTTAGTGAATATTCCAGCAATATCATGGCGGTGGACAACCTGCTTTATACATTGAACCCTGTGAGGAATCGAACATGCCTGCAAATCAGTTGACACTTGATACTTAGTGAATGAGTTGGAACATTAATTCAGTTGTATCGCTGAGTGTCTAGTTGATGTGTGAGGAAGGCCTGAAGTGATTCTGATCTGTATACCTGTATCATGATAAAGGTGAATATGAGAAAACACACGCACGCACGCACGCACGCACGCACGCACGCACGCACATTTGACGTGAACCAGAATCACAGAAAAAAGAGTCCAAAAACATTACCATCGAATAACAATTTCTTCTTGTTTCATTTCAAGGTACATTGAGACATGGGTGTATGCTATATTGTACCCGGCAGTTTATCATACATTACAAAGGAACAATGTTTATATATGTAAGTTACAGAAACAAATGCGGATATAATCTCATGTAATTTACACATAATATCTAAGATTCATCACCGTAGAACGTTATACTCAGAACAACCGCAACAACACAAATCTAAACATGTGCAGCTTATTTGAATGCAGAACATAACAAATTGTTTAAATGTTTTTTCACCAGAGGTGTTGTGCTTGTCGTGCTGTTTGCGTTGTACCTTGGCCATATCGCCGTGCCCTTCCCCACACAGAGCGCATGTAGCGCCCAACACAGGAGGAGAAAGAGCAAGACTCATGGCGTGCTAATCTTTCAGCTACTTCCGGTACGTGGAAACAATCATGCGATTAACAGTAAACATTTATTCATTAGTCAATTTCAAATGTTGTTATTAGTGAGTGAATGTCGTTAACGCTGACTCAGCAGTATTCCAGCTATGTCCAAGCAGCCTGTCAATAATGGACTGAAAGCAATGACACACATGTTAAGTCTGTACTCAAAAGAACTGTGAAAAGTGTGAAACCAACAAACAACACAATTTCCGAACAACCATTACAATGGCAGTACACAACAGAGTGGTGGCACAATTTTCAATGACAGTAAATAATGTAATGGCAGTGGTCAGTATCAAACTTCCAAAATGGGCTAGGCAGGGATTCCGGGGTGATCTTAACACTTTTGGTCTTGATGTATTCTCAAATGGAAATAAACAACCTAACAAGCTACTGGAAATTTCTACACAGTGCCCTCATCAGTCTAGCGGCACTGGAACATTCCAGATGTTTCTATAACATACTATCACTGTCCGAGGTATACCGGACCGGAAGTTTACATATCACACTAGCATCTAAATATAGTAACTTCCTGACGACTGATTACTGTCTTAACATTATGCAATGAGGGTCTACCGAATCTTAACAGAAACACAGTTACAATCTTTGTAAACAATAAAATACACTGCCACATAGCACACAATCTGAAAACCCCAACAAGCATGAGATACTGGGTACTTATACTGAACCGGAACCCGCATGGGTATTAAAACAAATAACCATCATGAAAAATGCTTGCAAAATACAAGATCGATAAGGTTTCAACTGTTGTTGTGACTGCTGTTGTAACTGTTGTTGTGACTGTTGTTGTGACTGTTGTTAGGGCTGTGTTTGTGACTGTTGTTGTAAATGTTGTTGTGACCGTTGTGGTAACTGTTGAGAAGTTGTTGTTACTGTTGTTGTAACTGTTGTTGTGACTGTTGTAACTGTTGTTGTGACTGTTGTGACTGTTGGTGTAACTGTTGTTGTGACTGTTGTTGTGACTGTTGTTAGGGCTGTGTTTGTGACTGTTGTTGTAACTGTTGTTGTGACTGTTGTAACTGTTGTTGTGACTGTTGTGACTGTTGTTGTAACTGTTGTTGTGACTGTTGTTGTGACTGTTGTTAGGGCTGTGTTTGTGACTGTTGTTGTAAATGTTGTTGTGACCGTTGTAGTAACTGTTGAGAAGTTGTTGTTACTGTTGTTGTAACTGTTGTTGTGACTGTTGTAGCTGTTGTTGTAACTGTTGTTGTAACATCAGGTCCTCCTCAGCATCCTCGTAGTGTGGGCCGTATCTGGAATCCTAACACACGCAAACGTGTTCCCTACAGACCCCGCCAATCCAAGGTTCAGGGCCAGGACAGATGCCAAATCCACGATGTTACATCGCACGCCTTGGTTTTACGTCCCCCACCCAGGTAAATAACACTATTAAAGATTGTTTGTTTGTGGTTTAACGCCTCATTATTCCAGCTTTATGACAGCAACCTGTAAATAATCGAGTCTGAACCTGACAAATCAATGATCGATATTGTGAGCAACGACCCACGCTGTCTGGGTACGATGACACATAATCAAGCAAGTCACCGAGTCTCACCAACAGATCCATGTGGTCACCTCTTACGACCTGCATTGGAAGCTGGGGATCTATTCTAACCCAGGATCCCTACGGGGTTGTTAAAGATAGTAGTTGAGTCTTGCTAACTGGCTGGAATAATAAACGTGACCCGAATACCTCACAACGGAAGTCTCTCTCTGCAGCAAGACATCTTGATTTAAGAGTGAGTGAGTATGGTTTTACACTGCTTTTAGCAATATTCCAGCAATATCACGATGGGGGACACCAGAAGTGGGCTTCATACATTATACCCAAGTCGTGAATCGAACCCGGGTATTCGGCGTGACGAGCGAACGCTTTAACCACTAGGCTACCCGACCGACCCCTTGATTTTAGAAAGAATCGCGCGAAACAATGAAGTTATAACGTCAATATGTCCATTTTTTATTTCGCAAAACTTACAGTCATGCCGTTGGCTAAATTTATCGGTACCCAGATATGGAAGAGTTGTGGGTGAATTAATACGGTTGTGATTGGCTGAACATAAATTACGTTATGTGATTCACTTGGAAGTCACGATGGCACTACTTTAGATTCATTCACAAATGCACAACCAGCTTAACACTGAACTAGGGGCTAAATGGTGTTTAGATTTCAAATAAAAGGTTGATTTAGGAGATAAACCCACTGTGTTTTAAATTTGATGTGATCCCACTGTAGTCCCAAATGTAAAAATAAGAGGCATCTACTCTACAGTGGGACTACATCAAATTTCAAAACACAGTAGGTTTATCTCCATTCTACCATGACAGCAACAACGCTTTGAAAACGGAGCTCTCTTGCAATGCGTAACAAAACAGGGTACAAAGGTCCACAATCTTAGGACATTCCGAAAAGTGACCACAGGTAGTAATATGTCTAACAAATATGAAGAAGGTCCATCATTAAATTACCCATAGTCTTGAGAAGTTCAAATTAAGTGTTCAACACACATAGTTTTTCAAAAAGAAGTTGACAAATAACCCACCAAACTTAGTCCAAAGATAGATGTTTTAATTCTATCGCAACCTGCTCTGCACAATTTGGACTCGGCAAGTCATTTCTTGGAAATCAACGAGAGAATTCATTTTTTGGAAACCGAGTATGCCATTTCCATTGTAGGGGTGACAGGTTGTAGAAATAGTTTTAAAAATGCTAAACGAATATATTTCTCAAAAAAACTTTATGATATAACTTTCTACCATTTATTTTACGTTGGTAAGATTTATCAGGTAGTTAGCAATTGCCTCAGAAAATAATAAAAAATATCACAATAAAAGCCTCTCCACCTCGAACTTGGATGTGGCAGCACCTGACCTACATCACGGTTACTCACACCTCACAGCTGTCAATGGCTGTCAGTGTTGTGTTTACATTTTGTGCCTCATACAAGTTACACCAGCAAGATGGCAACCCCGAACTATGATGTGGTTCAACATTAACCTGTAAATTTACTTGGAATGAGCCTGCTGGTACAATGCGATTGCCAATGGAACTGAGTAGGACTGTACAGCTGCTTTTTAGGCTGCAGAAGAGCCGGCTATTTTGACACGAGAAATCTGCATGGATTCAAAGTCTGTGTGTGAAAGAAATGAGACATTTGTGAAATTGTGGTTCGTGTATGATTTTCATAAATGTGCGTGTCCTGAAATAAATTTCATCAATTTTGATAAGCTGTGATGTTGGGGGAAATTGTTTTCGTGGCCTTTTCGAAGGGACAAGTGCTTTCTGATGGACTTTTAAGTCTCCTCCTGCCAAATCTTTACGGTGGTGCTTGACGGAGATGACAATGACTATCGATCACAAAAAAATGGTTTCATGAATAAAGTTTCTCCAAACACAACAATTATATTGTTATATTTTACTTTCATTGTCGGTTGCTGCAATGATGAAATTGCCTCTTCCGAGTCTGTTCGTCATCTAACTTGTCCCTAACAGTTTCGTAAACATTTAATTTGTATGCAAAATTTATGCCTTCGTAGAGTATTGTAATCTCATTATCGAAGCAGTCAGGGTTACGGCCTAGAACATCATGCCGTCGCCAAAAACATCCGATAACAAACTACCGTACTTCCTCTATTAGAGGCTAGGCAGTCTATTATTTTCGCGAGAGCTGTTGACCCGGCATGTTTTAGAGACCTGGCTTGTATTAGAGACCCAGTATAGAATAGAGGAAATATTGATACGTTTTACAGTTTCAATGGGTGATCAATTGGCAGCCATTTTTTATTAATCGATATGTAGGCTATCGATGTATTCATGCGCACGTTTTTTTGTGTGAAAAGGAGTAATATATAATTAAGGGGTTTCCGTAGCCAAATGGAAACCTCTTTTTTAACCAGTCAGAATCAAGCATTCTTCAATGTCATGGTAGAATTATTATTGAGCTATGATTGTATATGAATAACAGGCAGTGTCTTTGTATTGAACGTCAGTACTTACAAACAAAAAGTCGTTTTGCTGGTCTCTGTCCAAAGTTTGCTAAGTAGACAATGCTTTAACTGACCAATGTTTTTTTTTCAAACTTTTCACAGAAATTTCCGCATTAGGTTCATATGCCTATAAAACGTAGAAATGTATTTGACAGAAGAGAGCAATTGACATGCCTTTGCGTGTGTTTGTGACAGATGTGGCCAGTTGGGGAGATACTCTGACTATTTGATAGTGATTCTGAACACTTTGCATACGATATGGTCGCAATCGTACGGTGGACGGTGATGAAGGAAAGATTTTTATTGCTTCTATTCACGGTATATGTAGCTTGAACCATACACTAATGTTAGTCCTAACTGCACTAGGTGAACCTTAAATCCACAGGCTCTTTGTCAAAGCAATCCTATTGCTGCATCCGATTACAATCCTTTTTTGGGCTGCCAATCCGATTTCAAATGATGTAAGGGAGAAGCTATTTGACATTCGGGGTGGGGTGGTGGTTGTTTCTAATAAATAATATTCAAGCTCCTGTATTTTTTCTGAAATATAATTACATATGCCTCACATTTTTAGGGAAAAGGATAATTTGCCCCTTTCTTGCAGACCATATTAAAGTATCCCAAGAATACAGTACGTTATTTTTGTTTATTTAATTCAGTAAGAATTGAGCTTACTTTCAACTTTGGTTTTGCCAGGTGAATTTCAACAAGTTGATGTACATATATGTTTATTGTACACCACTTATGTCTTCAACTGTTTCAGGACAGTTTGGAAAGCCATCGTTCAACATAGGACTGTTTATAGGATTTATAGCAGCGTTCCTTGCCTCAATTATTGAGTCTGTAGGGGACTACTTTGCTACGGCCAAAGCGTGTGAAGTCACCACTCCACCGAAACACGCCATCAACAGGGGGATATTTGTAGAAGGGCTTGGGGGACTACTTTCTGGAGCGGTGGGATTTGGCCTCTCAACAACTTCGTACACACCCAACATTGCTGCAATGACTCTGACTAAAGTATGTTCACATACTCAAAAGAGATATTTTCACTGGATATAAACAAGTTGCAAGTGATTTCTTGACATTTGATTGGCTGACCATTAGGTCACCCTACAAACGGGCTACTGATTTTTGATTGGTAGATAGTAGAATGAGCAGGCTTTGTTGTATTATTGCACTAAACGACGTAGCTGATTTTGTATTGTTGTCTACAGCCTTATTAAATAAGTAGTATGTGAACTTGTCATTGTTGACGTATTTATTTATAAGAATTGACTTAAATATGATTTTGCGTTTCTGGAGTCGTAAATGCATAAACCGGTATGTACACCATTGTGATCCTGCATTGTGGACCTGCATTTAACATGACCGATTTTAAATGGTAAAAATTAGCTAAATACTTTGATTGATTCGTACCATGCCACTGTTGCAGACAGCTCACCGCTACATCATGTACAGTGCCGGTGCCATTATGCTGGTGCTGTCGGTCGTGGGGAAGGTCGGTGCTGCAATAGCGACAATACCGGACCCAGCTCTTGTCGGTTCTATGGTAGCAGTATGTGGCATGATGGTCACTCTCGGACTCTCTTCGTTACAGTACGTCAATATGAACTCTTCCAGGAACCTCCTCATCGTTGGGATGGCTCTGTTCATTGGCATATTTTTGCCAGAGTGGTTAGAGAGACACCCTGAGGACCTCGAAACAGGTTTGTCTCTAGTACTAATGATCACCGGCTTTTCGTACACACCTCTGTGGGTGAGAATTTAGATAACTGATAGCAAACATATGAGTGAGATCGAATTTCAGGTCCGTGGTTGGCTACTCCATGGCGATGACCTGAGGTATACTTTCCTGATTGTAATCAACTGATACGTTTCTCGTGCTTCAGTCTGATTTTAGTGTGTTTCACATATATTCTGTGATCTTATCTAGACTTTGCTTGATCATCGCTGCCCTGACAATCCACAGATATGGTAGACCTCCTTTTGTGGAGGGTCACACTACGTGTGAGTTGTTAGCAGTCAACCGGATGATGTCACCCATGACCGTTGTGTTATGTTTTAATGCGCCAGTGCGATCACGAGAATACAATAAAATGGTTCAAATTAAGGGTGTGTAAGAACCAGATTACTGCATATTTTCCGATGAGTGTGTTTTAATTATGAGATCTGATGCCGTTACATTAAGCGTTGTTTATTCAAAATGTAAAAAGAGAAAAGGTTTATCTCCATTCTACAATGACTAACATGCGTTTATTAAAAAGGATTCTTTTTCGTGATCACGTATTCAGCGCAGTGATGCGGTCGGAAGTGGTCATCGCTCATTAACCACTTTAAATGTAGTCAAATCTACCAATCAAATAAGATCATCAATCAACGTCACGCTAGCATAAGGGACCAACGATTACACCCCACATTCCGAGTTTATCACGTAGTCGTCCCCTTAACAGCTTTTACACAATTCACTGGACATGTGCTCACCCACGGATATATATAAATCCCAACAGCATTAACCTCGGCAGCCTTTTCTTGTCTAAAGGGGACAGAAGGTTAGCTAGTGGTTAAACGTTCGCTCGTCATGCCGAAAACCCGAGTTCGATTCCCCACATATATATGAAGCCCATTTCTGGTGTGCACCGATGCTGGATATGATTCACTTTCAGGGGTCAAGGACCTTGATAAAATTCTGCAGCTTATTCTTGGAACTCCAATGCTTCTTGGTGGCCTCATCGCCATCTTCCTGGATAATACCGCGAAAGGTAAACATTATCACCAATCGAGGACTGTCGATTACCACACAACGCCTCTGAAAAGGGACATATTCTGTGACATGCATATGATATATGCAAGAAATATACATGTTTTCACCCAGAACATCTCCATTAATTTCCTCAATATCTGTAAAAAGATAATAGAGTAGTGACCAACTCTTAAAAAGAGGCTTATTTAGGGAGTAACCCCTCCCCACAGTTGAACAAAGCACAACCACATTTTTCTTCACAAGATGTCATTTATGCATTAGAAAATGATGGTTGTGATGATTACTTTTGTTGGCAGACATGTTTTTTTATTCTATTGGGCGTAACAGCAAAAGAGCCGTGAACATCATATGAATTGATCAATGAAATCCAGTAAGAATGGTTAACATGTCCTGCCCTACCGGTAACACCTGTCACTCACAAAATTTTCAAAAACGTAATCGTAATGGAAAAGAGAGAAAATCAAGTAACACAATAATGCATTGATTGCTTTTCGTGGAAACTAAAAACCGACATATTCATTTTGAATTACGTCTGCTGTGTACACCCGCAGAAGTGTGTTTGGAACGCAGTATGGCTACATAGCCACAATATTGTTTTTATGCCATGAGTAAAGATATTTCTCATTAACATCTTGGTCATATGTATTTGTTGTTACTTTTGACAGTCTAGTCATACCGAACTGTACGCGTTTTGTGGTTTAAGTGACGTCCTCTTATGAAGAATCATGTATGTAATTACAAATATAATCATACAGTACACTCCTTGGGTATTCATAAATATTCTGATATATGTCAGATTATGAGGTTAAGGTACATTTATGTCGTCTTTGAATGACATTTAAAAGTGATACACATAAAGAAGAGAATTAATGGATGTTGACTTCTTTATTATGAGGAACACAGCATTTCGGAGTATATGCTTACTCCTTCATCAGGTGAAGTAATGCTATGAGGCCCAGAACATATATATGTACCTGTAAAAACAACAAAAGTAATAAGATAACAAAGGTAGAAACTAAGCAAGGGAAGCCAACAGATAATTGGCGCTGATTTAATGGCGGATTTCAGGTCTAGTTTGTTGACAGAGGTCTGATGTTCTTTGAGTCTAGTATTGAGGGATCTGAGGGTTTCTCCAATGTGTTGGTGGCCACAGTTGCAGGGGATCTGGTATTACATCCTCTGGGGTTGGGATTTGTGCTGATTGTGCCTCTGCCATTGGCTCGGAGACTGTTAACTGTTCCATTTGTCCATTGCTAATCACCTATCAGCGCCAATTAACTGTTGGATTCCCTTGTGAAGTTTCCACCTTTATTATCTTATTACTTTGTTGTTCTTACAGGAAAATGTACATGTTCTCTGCTCCATAGAGAAAGTACTCCCAGCTTTACTCCGAACCGGTTTGTTCCTCATAAATAAAGAAGTTGACGACCATAAATTCTTTTCCCTATGTACCTCAATGTGTCCTGAGTCCACAGTATCATCTGATTGTCAATTTTGAGGGGGAGCAGCTATTTTGATCTTATTGTGCACATGTTTTCTTTGTTTCTTCGTATATTCTATAGGGCTTAACCAAGCATACCCAGAACCAGTAATGTATGTGCATTTGTAGCCATTTTAATTCTAACTATGTATTAATTTAGAACTTGACCTTGAAAATGACTGACCTTCAAATGTACCTCCTAGGTGGTTTAAATAATCATTGATTTTAGCCAAACCTTCAATTATATCCTACATAGAAAAGGTATTTGCAAATGGTGATATGTATTTGTTGTATAATTCTATTATTAATGAAATTAGCAATGGGAATGCACATTTTGACAAAATGGGGGTGGGATGGGGTGGGGTGGGGTAACATATTACCAATTTTTAAAAAAATCATAAAAGCTATGTGGAATATGAACACTGCCGTCTCCTCATAAGACGTGTCGGCTCATTTTGAGATATCAAATGGCTGGGTTGATAAAACTAATAATTCATTACAGTTCATTTTCCAATAATTGGAAAATGAAAAAATAGAAACATTTACCATATTTTGGCTTATTTTTACTAATAACTCAATTTGTGAGAAGCTATAATTAAAATAATGATAATAATAATAATTCAAGTCTACTATGTGTTAACTATCACACAAATGATAAAAATAAGGAATCAATGCATACATTACCTTTTAAGGGGACTTTATTTGATTTTCTTAATTTTTACAAAATCTAAGCGTATTTTGACCCCAAAACAGTGTCTGCCACCAAAACATTTGACCACAAGCATCATTTTCTAGTCCGTTGGATACAAAAACATAAGGAAAATCTTTAGTTTTCTTTGTTCTACTATTGGAAGGGGTATGTCTGCAGTTTGAGGGTCTGGCCACTACTCTGTAACAAGTTCACTAATTATATGGGGAAAAGTAATTTGTACTGAGGTTATTCACAAAAGAAATGTTAGATGTTCTGAAAATAATGTGATGTCGACCAAAAATACTTGTTTGGCTAAAGTGACTTGATGGAAACTTATTTCTTGTGTCTTGCGGTTTTCTCGACCTTCTCCCACAAGATGAGCTAAGTGAGGCATTACAATCACACGCGAGGGTTGCCTCGTGAATGTACTGCCTCCATGTTCTCTGTGTGGCTGCTTTTTAGAATAGAGATGTGAATATAAAACCCCTTTTTCAACTACACCTTTTACAGGATCACGGAAAGACCGAGGCATTGATGCTTGGCAGAATCTCCTGGGGACTGACGCCACCAACACCAGCATCACACAGAAGCCCGTGGAGACGTCATCAAACAATACGTATGGATGGTTCTGGCAAGGTCGACTGTATCAGTACCTGCCCTGCTGTTCACGGCTCCCCTTCATGCCTCCGGGGACAGGGTTAGATCGTACCCTCACGTCACCATCCCAGCCAGGTGGGACGCCGGATAATGTCAGATCACTCTTGGGAAACTCTAGTGTGTAGTTCCTCTTCGGGCCGCATCATTTTGATTAATCATTTTCAACCCCCATCGTTGGGATGTTGTATTTGCCGGATAATTAACCAAGGGCCGGTAGCTCTGACCAGCCATTCCAAAATCGATGTACATGCTGCACATGACGCACGATGGCTGTCGTGTCTGTGCAGGTAGTGTGTTGGGGGGGGGGGGGGAAACTGTGAGGTCTTTGTTGTGGACGTGCCGAGGGCTCTTTAGATACCATTTTATTTTTCATGAATCGCCGCGAAAATGCATTAATGTTCGCAAAAAGGTGTAAAAGAGCCACGTCGTTGCGTCATATTAGACCAAAACAATAATGCATTATAATGTATTAATACCATGAATGGTCTTCTTCAGTGACCAATGACGTTTGTGTAATTATTTCATTTATTCCACGCATGTTTGCAGAATACGTGTATAATGACTTTCTGTTTACCTTAATTTCCACTTATGTACTTTTTATCTGACCTGGACGCATTTTGTTATCTATTTTTCAATGCAATAAAATATTACCAACAGATGTGTTTTCTGTTTTCCAACGTTAACGAAATATGTCATATCCTGAGAACATTTTTACCTTTTTGTTGTTGTACATAAACGTCTCTCATAAATTCATTAATAGGAATTGTCAACGCTGGGGAATAATCAGTCTCGCTTATCTGCCGAAACAGATTCCACTGGGGGTAAAGGGCAAAACAGTGGTGAAAGTTGTATGAATGGATCACTGGAAATCAGTGATGACACCAGGTGTTCGTGAAAAGGGTAATCATGTCCTGCTCTATAGTCGCACCCGCCACTCACAAATGAATGAAATAGAAAGTGTTGTTTGCTGTCTAACACAGGACAGCTGAAGGGAATTTTCTGGTTTGTTGTTTCTACTCTATAAGGTGTGATTAAGCTCTGTGTTAAATTAATTAGATTAGTAGCACAAAGAACCCTTTTCTTAGCGTTACGACTTACGTTCGCCTTCGTGAAATAATGGGAGTTACAATCATTTATGCTTTGTGCATCTGGACCTAGGACACAATCATTGAGCATCGGACACCCATTCTACACTGCACCCGCAGCGACGAAACACGCACGGGGTACCTGAAACATTTCTGCTATCTGGAATACTCAGTGTTAAATGCATGATTCGGTATGCTCCTTGGAATCAGTACGTTGACTGTTCGTATGTCGGTCACAGGAAGAGTGAGTGAGTCTTCGAGTGGGTTGGAGGGAGAGAGGCTGGGCGCGTGGTTGGGCCTCAGTTAGCTAGTGTGTGATTGAGTGTTTTATCGCCGCCTTGAACAACAGTATATCAGTCCTTTATTTTGGCTTGAAGAAAACCCTAAGTGATGAAGTTTTAGAAATCTTACCACGTAGGTGAAACCAACGAGCATGGGTATGGTGCTGAGAAACCTAAAACTATAATCAAGACGGATCTGAGATTCGAACCTACGATCAATGAGTGAGTGAGTTGGGTTTAACGCCGCTTTTAACAGTATTCCAATTTTATCGCGGCGTGTCAGCTTAATGTGGGAGGAAAGCCCGAAGTGATGCAGGTCTAAGACGTTTACCACTTCAGTGAAACCAACGAGCACGGGTAACGTGCTGACAAACCTAGAAACATAATTGGGGCGAACCGGGATTCGAACCCACAATCATAGGTTTCTGGCGTGCCAAAGGGACGCAACTCTGCACAGCGAATCGCGGCGCCTAAGACAACTGGGCCACCCGTGTCCCCCTACGATCAATGGTTTCTGGTACGTCATTGCGACACGGTGTCCCTGATCACACAAAGACAAATCAGGTTTTAAAACGAACATGGAAGTGAACAGTTTATATTTTTTAATATTTTCATGTCATTTCCAATTTACCATTGTTAGAAACAGAAATGAAAGTAAATCGGCCTTTTCATCATGTATCGCAGTTGCCGTGTCATTTCTTCAGAAAACAATAAACTTTAGCATGCAATTGTTAGATTTTGATTGTTTAAGGTAGGATAAGGAGTCGACTTGACGTGGGTATTTATGTTTTAATACTAAATAGAGTTGCAAGTGCCACGCCCCAAAACAATCCCAATGAAAGTGACATTCTGCTTTCTTCGTTTGGACACACGTACACAACTTTCTCTGTCGTCGCTGAAACAGAAGAATCACATGTTTATCTCTGGTTGTGACGTAATCTCCCACACATGACAACCTGAACTAACGTGGAAAGCATGGTGGTTGACCTCGAGGTATTGGTACTTACGCTGTCACACACCGATGTAGTGATGACGATTACGTCATCGATACAGCTAATTTGCATAGCATATGATCCTGGACATTTATTTTGAAAAAAATGCTCTTGTACTGGCTTCGAAAAATGGGAATTACAGTGTCATGCACTATTAAGCAGATGTCGCGGGTGAAATAGGGTTAACGTCACGTTCAAAATTATTGCAATCAACGACGTGCCTGCCGGTGTGTGTGTGGCTGCTTGTACTCGTCCGGACTAGCCTACTGCGATGCCTTGCTGCAGTATAACAAGGATACCCCACATTGACACATTTTATAAACCTCCAGTGACGTCAGGCTATTGTTCTCCATTTGGATTAAATGTCCTAAAGATCATGTTATTATATTTTATTCATACAACATCCATTTATATTGTAACATGTGAATAATTCTGGAAAGAAATGTATTTAGAATTTGAACACAATAAAATGAAATGCAAAATGACAATGTTTTTTATATTCCCGCGAATTGAACATGCAACCTTCGTACCTGTAGCCCATTGATTGTTCCACCAGGATACAGATGCGATGATAAATTACAATACTTATGAGTTTGTCTTCTTTAAGGACCCGTACGCCAGCAACAGATATTTTACGTCCGTTTCCTAAGGTTCATGGGAAGTATTTCTGACACATGAAAATGTTGATAAATTTTGTGTTAAAGTTCTTTTGTCTGTTTATAAGAAAGATAAAACACAAACCCTCGGAGATTTAAAACCCTGATCCTCGGGGAAACACCACGGGGCTAACGACCCTCGGTTTTATCCCCTGGCTTCGGGTTTTAAATCTCATAAAACCCTTTGACGTGCTGTATCCTACACATAGTATACCAGTCCCTTTAATGCCGAGTACCCGGCAGGGTAACACCAAGTACCAATCAACCAACCAACCAACCACTCAAACAAACAAACAAACAAACAAACAAACAATCCAATCAATTAACAAACCACTCAAGCAATCAGTTGATGTCTCTTGCTATGGCTGACTTACTTTCAGAGTCTGCAGGCGTGTCGCCGTTCTCGATGATATGTGGCATGAACACACGGTGCTGATTCCTCAAGCCCTGATTGCTGGCTTGTCCGGCAGCCGTGAAGACAAGGGAGAATTTATCAGTCAGGCTGTATATAGGCCACTGTAAGTTGGATGTTTCAGATAGGTTTTGATTGCTGCCAAATTGACTACCAAACGTTAATAGTGTTGTTTCTCAATAGTTGTTAGTTCAAATTTTACAACAGAAGTTTATTCAAATACAAATACATAGAGGTTATCAAACGAGTGTGATTTGAGGATGGTATATAACCTGTGTTAGGAATAAACATTGTATTTAGCAAGCCTTGGCGAGTTAAATGTATCGTGTGTTACATATCAAGTCAGGTAGGCAGAGCATGTTCTGGTAATGTAAGGTAATCTGGCATTTTAGGTAACGTTGTATCGAGCGAGTACTGTATTTTTGTTGCAATCATGAATGTGAAGACATGTGCATTTACATGCCCTGTACCTTAAATATGCATAAGAACTTATTATATGCATAGCTCTCTTCAAAGACAGCAAACACTCTTTAATTAATATCAAATTTGACAGTAATGTGGTCACTGGCCATTGTCGTATTTGAGCAGATATTAGAAGCATGATAAGTGCAGTAATTATGTTTTTTTAGTAAAACAATAGTGCACGATCACTATTTGCCTACACTTGACGCATTCAAATATACTTAGCAATATGACACTGTCGTTTATGCCATGCTAAAGCTACAAGGAGTGAGGAAAGCTTATTTAAAATATATTTTATTTTCAGCACTGTATTGTATATTAAATATTGAATAAAACCTTTGGAGACGTGCCCTAAAATGACACCCAAAAAGTAAAATCGACTAACCCTAGGTAAGCCCCTACGCCCCGAAGAATAGCCCTAACCATACCCGTTAGCTCGATTTTCGACTCTTACCCTAGCTAAGACCAGTTTAGGTTAAAATGACCCCAAACGATCAGAACTAGGGTGAAAAAACGTCTTTTTTCAACCTCCAACCTCCAAACGCACACTCCTGGGGGCACCCAAGGCCATTTCTACCTCTTTCCACACCTCGTTCTTACAAAATAATAAGTTCAGGTCACAAAGAGCATATGCGCCAAACATATAGACACAATCATTCATACATTCTGGGATTGCAGCCAGGTGAACCTCATTTTGGAAATTACCTGAAAATTGCCTTCAGCATAAACTGTAACTAAAACTTGATATTACGAGCAGACTAATAGTACTACATTATCCAAGAAGATACAATGATCCGATAACCATTACAATCATACTTTGTTAAAATGGATTTCAAATAAAAAGGTTTCACGAAACCATGCTACCTTATATGTCTTTTTAGTAAAACAATAGTGCACGATCACTATTTGCCTACACTTGCCGCATTCAAATATACTTAGCAATATGACACTGTTGTTTATGCCATGCTAATGCTACAACGAGTGAGTAAAGCTTATTTAAAATATATTTTATTTTCAACACTGTATTGCATATTAAATATTGAGTAAAACCTTTGGAGACGTGCCCTAAAATGACAAAAAAAGCAAAATCAACCTAACCCTAGGTCGTTTATGCCATGCTAAAGCTACAAGGAGTGAGGAAAGCTTATTTAAAATATATTTTATTTTCAGCACTGTCTTGTATATTAAATATTGAATAAAACCTTACGAGACGTGCCCTAAAATGACACAAAAGAAAGCAAAATCGACCTAACCGTAGCTAACCCCGTACGCTCCTACGGTTAGCCTAAACATACCCGTTAGCTCGATTTTCGACGACAACGGGGAACTGCTGACATCAAAAACACCACCAACACTCAACAACGTCCCGACCCTGCCGCGGGACCTCCAAAAATCCACCGAAACATCGA